AACTTGTTATTTCCCTCTACATTTGGCAACACTAAGTCAGCTGTGATGCTTGATACTTGTACAAGCACGTTTTACACAACCTCTCACAAAGAAGCGGAATACATCTCCGGCAGCCTAGTATACCAGACGCAGCTGTGGGCATCAAGTCAAACATTCTTTCATGCCCTAAAGGATCAGACCAGTGTTTGGCAGCACTGAGCATTTGCATTGCAGCAGCGTGAACCTGAAGGAGAGCAATTAGCTAGTTACTAAGTAAATAAAAAAAACATTAGCTACAAGGTACTTAATTTCAGGCTTCAAGTAGCTTACTACCATTTTAAAATAACCAAATCTTTCTTCAATTATGGCTCATAGAATTGATAGGAACAGATGCTGGAACACTAGGCACTTACTCGGCATAAAGCAAGCTCAGAAATGCACAGCAGGCCTTCATGCATTTACACCTCCCGTTTCCTCCCGCTCCCTGTCTGAAGGCCAGTGAAAGAAAACGCTGCCTTGTACCTCTTTTGAGAGTCCCCAAATGCCGCTCTGTCAGGGTTTTTGGAAAAAGCTTTTTGGGGAAGGTTTACATAAATTCTCTTTGGGTCTAGTTAACAGACACAAAAGTACTAACAGTGAAGAACTACTACAGACCACAAAGCTAACAGCATACACTAATTAACCTCCATCATCTTCATGAGAACCTTTATAATTATGAACTTTCAATTTGTTTTATTTCTGCATAGTCCTGACAAAAAACAAGCATCACCTAGGTTACACCCACCCACATTGCCTCAGGAAGGAAATCCAGAATTGTTATCAGTCATCCCCTGGACTCTTTCTTCACATGTAAATAGCTACACATTTTGTTTGGGTTTTGTTTTGGGTGAGAGATTTTTCCAGACTCGGGGGGGGGGGGTAGGAAAAAAAACATGAATTACAAATACAAAAACCCAAACCAAGTTTACTTCACGGCTGCTTACCCTGCCATACAGAGTATGTAACAGCGAGTGTCCTGTTCTGTCTGCAACACAACAGCATCTGTGAGCCTGTCCTCCTTTTCCAAACTGAAGACTCTGTCCACCAAATGCACGCTGATAGATTTTTCCTTCTTCAGTTCTGCTGAACGGCATGCCATAATTTTCCAGCTGTTGAACCCAGATACAGGCATCAGAAACTCTTGTGCATAACAATCCAACAAGTTATTTTACCATGTTCGTAGTAAGGTGATCTCTTTGGAAGCTAGTCTGTGTTATAAATCCTTATAGCTGACATCAATTCCAGCAAGTCTCACCTCTATCACCGCAGCTGGGGCTTGCTCGGTCATGTAGTGGATAGCATCCTGGTCACCCAGCCAATCAGACCCTTTCACTGTGTCATAGAAATGCCACCTCCAGTTATCATCCTCCATGTTTCCCAGAGCAGCATTGATCCCTCCCTGAAAATGAAAACCCATTTTCCTCAAATTATATTACTGAACTGCAGTTTTAGTAGGTTTTCGTCATTTCTGTTAAAAATCGCATACCATTTATGCCTCTGTGTACAAGAAACACCATAAAGTCAGATTTAACATGGCTGTGAAAAACCTGGGCAATTTATCAGTTTCACAATGGCTCTTATCTTGTTCTGTTTTCTGTAACACAACGAACTACAAAGTTACATCAAATGCAGTAAAAAAGCACTGAATAGAATCCAGACATATACTGCCCTTCAAAATAGTTTCAACTAAACATGCAAAACTTCTAAAAGGAAGCGTGGCCTTGAAACGCGATGCCCATGTGCATAACCAAATCGGCTTTCTGACAGCAGGCATTTTTTAAACATTTCTTCTACCTCCTTTCTCACCTGTGCAGCAACAGTATGGGATCTGGTGGGAAACAGCTTTGTAACACACGCTGTATTAAACCCAGCTTCTGACAAACCAAATGCAGCCCGCAGACCTGCTCCTCCCGCACCCACAACAACTGCATCGAATTCATGGTCCACTACCGGGTATTGTGTAGAAATCTGGAAAAAAACCCAGTTTGTTATGATCACAAATATTTCAAGCTAGTACAAACTTAAGTTTCATGATAACAAAATCAGCATAGATTTCATATTCTTAAGAGACTCCTGAAGCAAATGCTACATCTGTTCTATACTCTTGGGCACGAAAACTAAACTTAAAAAAATCATGCATTCCAGCAACTCAGTCTCACTACATACTTGAACGCAACACCCCACTAAAAGCCGAGAACCCTTTTGTTTCATGTCTCTCTAGCATTAAGTGTGTATCTTAAGTGACAGGTTACATAATAAAGTACAAACATACCGAATCAGAAACCTTTGTAGAAGCATTTTTCTTTCCGTAGACTGTGAAGTGTAAGTTGCGTGCAAGAGGCTGGCATGCCGCTGGCCACTACGGAAAGAAGACAGCTGTTATAGAACAAACATTTCCACAAGGAAGACTTTCAGCATTCTCAGCTACCCTACATTTATAACAAACTTCTACTTACCACTGATACCACATACACAAGTATATTTTAACAATGTAATTTAGAGCTACATGCAATGAAGTGCTGGTTTTCCTATATTCATGCCCAGGGGGGAGAGGGAGCTCTGACTGGATGAGAAAATAGCCTGCAGGTAACAGGGTGTTACAGACCCTCTGTTACCTACGTCACTAAAACTAACCACTCTCTCGGACCTACCTGAGGCTGCACTGACAGAAGAATACGTTTATAATTAATACTGTAGTATTCTTACTTTTTTTCATAAATAAAGATTGAGACAGCTTTATGGGAACCACAGGACTTAATGGAAAAGCAATCCTCAGAATTTGAATTATTTCAGGTGGTCAAGAGTCATGAAGATAAAAAAATTAGGTGGTAGGAAAAGCTGTTCCAGCTCACTAGTGCTTCAAAAGTCAGAGATATTTTTATTTTTCTCATTCTGTATTAACTAGTGGCCAATTTAGAACCACTCATTAATACTTCAATGAAGCACAAGGGCAGAGTTTTCCCATTCTGTAACGTTGTTCCCTCTCCCCGGCACATTCAAAACAAAAACCAAAAAGCTCCACCATGAAACCTACCCAGAATCCAGTCTTTGCTTTAACAGGTTAAAACAATCAGAATTTTAGTCTCCTCAGTATAAAGATCCAATTTCTTGGAACCCAGTATTCCTTCTTTACACCGTTCAGAAAAAACACACCTAACTGAGCATGTAGAATTGACTAGAACACCAACACAAAGCCACACTAGTGACCTGTGCAGTGACATCAGCACTTCTCTATTTGAAATGCATCCCAAAATGCACCGGAGGGATATTTGCCTTTTCCGGCAACTGTCCTATTCATGGTTGAGTCGCCCTACAATACGCTAACAAGCTGGTCTTCCCTCCCCATCACTTCCAAATGTCAATCTCTTCCCCCATTCCTGAACTACAGTACACTTTCCTCGACCTAGTTTTATCATTCCTCATACTAGTTTTCTCAAATTATCTTCTTGCATAACAGCAAATCTAATGTGTCATCATATTTGCTAACACACTTCTGTTTTTTACAGCCATCTTTAACTAAGATCAGTCTGAACACCTATTTATAAGGGGTTCCACTAGTACCCTCCCTCCAGGCAGTTACTCTCCCCCTTCCACCCTGCTGCATTACCACGCTTCAGAGCAATTCCCTGCCCATCTTAATTCCTGTATTAATCATCTTCATTAATAATTCACATACAGAATCAGATCAACTAGTTCACCAACAGCCAGATAACACTGAAGTATCAAATGCAACTTATCTGCAAAACAGCTTTCCCAACAATCACAGCTCAAGCTAAAACGGGGTGTCCTCTCTGCAGCAAAACTGCTTTCACAGGCCTGAGGGCCACTGAAGTCAGATTAGCAGAACCCTAATTGACACGGCAGGCTACACTTCACACTTTGCATGTGGCGGCCATGCACTCTCTAGCACATACTACTACTGCCTGTTTCCAAAGTGGTGTTCCAGCAACAGTACAGCTCTTTTTACTGCAATAAATTATTTCTTGCAGGTGAGCAACAATACATTTGGTTATTGCACAAAGCAATTCAAAGAAAATCTTCACTGCATGTAAAGACAGCACACAACAAACAGGTTTGTACACGCTCAGTATTGCTTAAAGAAAGCGCAAGTGACTGAGAGGAGGGAGAAACCAACATCAAAAAAACCTGCCAAGAGCTATAAACTGCGGTTATGCCCTAAAGCCCCAAAAGAAACTGACCCATTTTTTCTCCCCTTGGAGTAAACAGCCTGCTGCAATCTCCAGTCAGAATTCTGTCACAATGCCCCGCAACTAATTTCCTTTTGAAAAACTTTGTTGCTTTCTGACATCAGTACAAACAGTTAGCACACATATTTTGCATCAGAGGACTCTGGAAACATATTATAAAAAAAAAAAAACCCACAAAACCACAGCAGCGTTTAGCAGACCATTTTTCTATTCACATCTAAGCTTCTGCAAAATACAGTTTTCAAAACTGTTATTCCCATCGAAATAAGCTTTTTTGCTAAAGCTATACACAAGCATTTCCGCTGCCACTAAGTTTTGTTCAGAATGAGTCTGCACAGAAGTCCACAAAGCACAAAAAGATGTTACACTAAATTTGAAAGAAACACGGATCACACTAACCCTGAATTGTTACGCTGCCAGGACCATGGCCCTTATGAAACTAAACGTCTGATCAGGGCCAGCTCACTGCCACCAAAAACATGATGACATCCCTGAAGCCTTTCTCCCCTCAGCAGGTCAACTTTTCTGCACTTAGTTTATAAGATGGGGACAACTACAGCTGCACTTACAGGGTCCTTTTCCCATGTGTTTATCTTCTGTAACGCCAAACTCGTTACAGACACACATGCTAACAGTGGAAAGAAACTGAAAACTCCGCAATGAAGTGGGAGAAATGAGCCTTCATTAAGGGCTGCTTACAGACCAGCTAAAAAAATCCCGCCAAACCTTCAAGCAGGACGTCCTGGAATCATCTGCTAGCCAGATCTGAGCAACATGCAGACTCTGTGCTCCCACACAGGTCCAGGAGCCAGCAGCACGCTTCCTACCCAGGCGCTGGGACTGGCAGGTGCCCAAACTGCCAGGCTCCTCCAGAGCCCTTCCTCAGCACAGCCCGCACGCGCAGGGAGCCCGCTCACGGCCTAGCGATACGGCTTCCCAAGCCCGGCCATCCCCACGGGCGCTGACCTCCCCGTTACCCGCCCCAGCACCAAGCACGGCCCGCTCCGAAAACAGGACCGGGCGGACCGCGCC